TCTGTGGCGTGCGACGGGCCGGCGGCGTAGCGCTGACGCCCCATGGTCTTGCGGCTGTCCTGGTGGGTGGGTGGGTGTCGGGGGGGGGGGGGGGGGGGGATTCTAGCCAGCGGCGCCGCTCACCGGCGGGGCGCCGGGGATCTGGTGGTGTAAGGTAAGGTAAGGGTAAGGTAAACTTCTCCACACACACGAGGTGGTGGGGCAAGGGGGGGCGACCCTCGCATCTCCACGCCCGGGACACGTGGGTGTCGGGTCACGGGCATGAGCCCCACGGCATTCAAAGTGCAAGGCCCAGTGCGCGTGGGTGAGCGGTGTGTGTGTGTGTGTGTGTGTGTGTGTGTGTGTGTGTGTGTGTGTGTGTGTGTGTGTGTGTGTGTGTGTGTGCGTGCGTGCGTGCGTGTGTGCGTGTGTGTGTGTGTCACGTCTCGTCACTGCATCCTCCGCCGGTTCCTCCCGTCGCCTCTTCTTTGTCCGAATGTATTTCAATCTCCATTCTTCCATGTGTGGTGGTGTAGAGGTTGAAGCAGGTGTTGTCGCGTCACCGGCCGTGGGGTGAGCGCGCGCCGTTTTGTGCATGCCGTGTGTGCGCGCCATTTGTGCCATTTTTGCTCCAACCTCGTACTAACATGTCGCGCCAGGAGCGCGCGCGCTGCCCGCCCGCCATCAGTACGTAAACGTGACTCCTTCCCTTTCGTGTGCATGTACGTAAGTCTATTCGTGTTGACTCTCTGCCCTCTATCAGCCTGCCAAAAAAAGAGTTGGAACTTGCGCGCCCTCCAGCCCCCACAGAGCTCAGAGGCGGGGTCTGGGGAACCCGCGAGGTGCGAGGTGCGAGGTGCGAGGAGCGAGGAGCGAGGAGCGCTCAGCGGGTGCCATTTAGTCGGGGAACACGCATGCAGGCGCTAAATACCTGGCCAAAGCGTCGCCGTACGCCGTCGCACTTGGCCAACACAGGCGGGCGTGAGCGCGTGAAACGGCCCGTCGGCGAAGGCGACTCGCGCTGGCACGTGCACAGAGGGATGTTGACATACGCCGCTACACGTGTGGGCGCCTATCTAGGGGAACAACGCGCCCCGTGCGTGGGCGTGTATGTCACGCGGTACGCGGCTGCGAGTGCAGCCGCCTATCTTGGCCAAGATAGGCGGCTGCACGTGTGGCGCGAGTACCGCTATACGCGTCTGCACGTGTGGCCGCGTAGGAATTCCATATTGTGATGTTAGAGGTGGGTTAAGAGGGAGATGCGCGCGAGGAATTCCTATCTTGGCTAAGATACGCGCCGGCACAGAATGACACGTATCAGCCCCGCCGAGCTCGATGCGCGGCAGCGGGTGAGTGAGGGCGGCTATTCTCCCCCGAGGCAGGCAAGGATACACAGTCCCTCGTGTCGCGCGTGTAAGTCCCGGTTGCCGTGCGCGCCAGCGCGTGTGGCCGCGTACCTTAGCTAAGATACGCGCGCACGGGCGTGGGTGGGTAAAGACGGGTGCAAGCTCTTAGGGTGATCGTCACACGCTCCGCTGTACCCGGGTACCCGCGAAGGCGATGGCTTCCTCCGCCCCTCCTCCCTGTGATGCCCTGCGGCTGCGCGGCCGCACACGCAACACGCTCTCACCACCCTGCGCGCTTGCATGCATCGAGCTGCCGCGACGCATGCCTTGCAGCGCTGCGCCACTGAGCATCAATCGCGGCACACGCCTGAAACGCAAATCGACCTGTCGTCGCTGTGCCGCAGGAAGGCGTCATCATGAGTCTTCGCTGGCTGCTGCTTGCCGGCCTTGTCGGACTGTGCCGCGGCTTCGCGGCTCTCCTCCTGGTCCCATCGTACGCCTTCTCGCCGGCCGCGAGCCTGGACGTTCCTCCCGTGCCCGTTCCCGACGTGGTCGACGACCCCGCCTGGCTGATCGCCACTTCTGGCCTCTGCTCGAACCTCAACGTCGTGATGAAGGAGCGCGACGTCGAGGCGAGCGAGACGGAGGGCGATACCGCGGCCCACTTCATCGCCGACATCGAGTTCAACTACTACCCGCAGACGGCGGTCAAGTTCACCGATTTCCCGAACCACCTCGCAAAGGCCATCGAGGGCGACGCGGCAGAAGCGGACGCGCTGGTCTCGAGCGCATGGGACCACAAGAATATCGCGCTGCTCGAGCCGACGTCGACGTGCGGCGCTGACGAACACAACGACCAGGCTTGGGGCATCTCGGTCTTCAAGGTGAAGGAGCACCGCCACTGCACTGACGGCGAGACCGCGTGGGAGGGGCATCCGTGTGTTCACTACTCCGGCTACGTCTCGGCGGCTACGTCCAACTTTGTCAACGTGAATGAGGGGCGCTTCGTCTGCCAGCTGTTCGTCGACTCAGTCTCACGTCAATGCAAAGAATGGGACGCTGTGACCTATGGCTTCCATTGCTGCAATTATTGCGGCCAGCCTCAGTGCCCAGGGCAAATCAAAGGTTGCGGCCAGTGCAAGGATGGCAACAACAATGCGGTTCCGTGCAACTAAGCGATGTCCAACTTCATCAGAACGCGAATGAGGGGCGCTTTGTCTGCCAGCTGTTCGTCGACTCCTCCAGGGTGTGCGAACTCCTTCACTTTGCGGGTATCACTTTTGACAGGTGTCGTCATGACCACGCGGCGTAGAGCTTCATCGGGGGGGGGGGGGGGGGGACGAGCGCGACCCCTTGAAGGATTCCCCGGCGAGCCGTGAGCCGTCGCGCCGCCCATGCGTGTGGTTCTGCGAGTTCCTCGCCTAGTCGCGCGCGAGAGAGAGGTCTGCGAGCTGCTTCAGATGGCAACACAACCTCGCGGTTGAGCCGGTGTCGCACAAGGCGGGGTTTGATGCCCCCGGCAGCTATTATGTATTAATTTGTATGTGTTGCTTGTGAGTAGTATTTTTTGTGAGTGTCGTGCGAGGGAGCTTTGTACATAGAACCCAAATGTACAGGCAAGGATGATGTGGCCGTCGTCGTCGCGAAGATCGGCGATGAACGAGCAGTCGCTAAGAGCCGTCGGTACTGTATACGTACAACGTCACGTATTGAAGAATTCCGCCGTATTTTCTGGCATTTCAAGGCAAGTGACCATAGTCTGTACTGTTGTGCAATAACTTAGGCATGAGACTGAGCATGAGTCGACGAACAGCTGGCAGACGAAGCGCCCCTCATTCACGTTGACAAAGTTGGACGTAGCCGCCGAGACGTAGCCGGAGTAGTGGACGCAGGGATGCCCCTCCCACGCGGTCTCGCCGTCAGTGCAGTGGCGGTGCTCCTTCACCTTGAAGACCGAGATGCCCCAAGCCTGGTCGTTGTGTTCGTCAGCGCCGCACGTCGACGTCGGCTCGAGCAGCGCGATATTCTTGTGGTCCCATGCGCTCGAGACCAGCGCGTCCGCTTCTGCCGCGTCGCCCTCGATGGCCTTTGCGAGGTGGTTCGGGAAATCGGTGAACTTGACCGCCGTCTGCGGGTAGTAGTTGAAGGCGATGTCGGCGATGAAGTGGGCCGCGGTATCGCCCTCCGTCTCGCTCGCCTCGACGTCGCGCTCCTTCATCACGACGTTGAGGTTCGAGCAGAAGCCGGAGGTGGCGATCAGCCAGGCGGGGTCGTCGACCACGTCGGGCACGGGAGGAGAGGGCTTGGGCGCAAAGGCGAGGCCGCGAGGGCTTGGGTTGATGTCGTCGACGGTTTCTGCCTGCGCACTCGTGTGATGCGTGTAGGCTCAGCCTGCCTGTGAGTAACTGCGGCTGGGCGGAGCGACGGACCGGCAGGGCAGACGCCGACAGAGCGACGAGCAGAAGCGAGGCAATCTTCAGCATCCAGTCCAAGATGACCCCCCGAGATGTACCCCGCGGCCAAAACGCCGTTTTTCAGAAGAATTCTTAAGGTTCTCCGGGCCAGTTGGGGGGGGGCAAACCGTGTGTGTGTGTGCATGCGCCCAGGAGGGGAGGGGGCATGCGTAACGACGCTGCTAGAGATGCCTTTCGGGGCCCAGAGACAAAACTTCTGTGATGCCATGCGTGACCTAGTAGTGTCCCCAGCTATGGGCGTGTCCACGTTGGAGCCAGGTGTGTGTGTGGTGTGGGCGCGAGAATAGCTCCGCCGTTCATGGAGGCAACCGATGCGAGTCGACTGGTGTGTGTCGTCGTGACAAAGAGCTGCTTGGCCCTTTGCACGTGCTTGGGTGCTGTACATACACTTGGGCAGGCAATAAACAGATCGCATCCACCAGGTTCGCAGCACATCGATCATCGTTCTAGGAGGTTGACCGTCGCAATAGGGGAAAAAAACCTTCCCCCTGAACGAGCCCTGAATTCACAGCCTTGTTATTGAGAAGAAAATACGTCCTATGGCGCTGTGCGCTGGTCTGTGAGAGGTTGAGGTGCGAGCCCTGGAGGCCCTGGGGATGGGTTGAGACTACCCGCGGGCCTACGGGTGGGACATTGAGACCGGTCATGAATGAGTGCGCGACACGCATGTTGCGAGCAGCGTTGTTGATGTTTTGCGCGTCGCCACAGACGGCGGCGCGCGAGAGCTGTTGCGAGTGGTGCTGGGCGAAGCCCCGGGCGCTGCCAGAGGCTGTGCACACAGTACTCGAGTACAGGTGTGTCTCGCGCCTTGCGGGGGGGTGGCGGAAAGGAGGAACCTAGGAACCTCTTGCTCGCTCACACATTCTTTCTTGGTGTGCCGGTGATAGTACTAGCACGCGCCAGTTCGCACCTGTGTCGAGCCTGTCTGCTGTGAGAGAGAGTTGTTTTGTCTAAATTCTTTCTTCCCATCTTGGAGCGCCGCCACTACCACCCAGAGCGCTGCAAGCAGCGCCGGGCAATGACGGCTTACCGCCCACCCAGCCCCTCCTCGGCACACCCCGGCAGCCAATGTGTGACGGCTCGAACCCGCTAAGCCATCCCGCTGCCGGACGTCAAGCTGGGACTGCGTGTGCCCGCTGACCTGCGTGGCTTTCTTGGTCTGCGGGCTTTCGCCACAAGCGAGGAGGTGCGCGCGCATCTGATGCACTCGATCGAAAAGGCCGGCCTCACCTCTCCGAACGACGCGCTGAGCGAGGCCGTCGCCCTCTCCGGCTGGCTCAAGGCGCTCTGGTGCCGTGCCAACAATCTCGCGCCGGCTTGGGGCGAGATCGTGGACCACGTCCTAGAGGCGAAGCCGACGCTCGCCGAGGACCCCGATCGCCTCGCCATAGAGCTTCGGTCCGGATGGCAAAAGCTGCCGCTGCCGAAGTCGCTGCAGCGTCGCCTCAGGTCCAACCCGCCACCGCCGCCACCCGACGTGTCTGATTGCGCAACGCTCTCGGGCGCGCCGCTGCGCATCGGCTTGAAGGAGGTCTTGTCCCTCTTGGCTGCGCGCCTGGAGGCCGCCCACGAGCTCGACGGCAGGGCGTGCCCCGGCCTGCCTCCGCTGATCGAAGTCAGCAGCCAGCAGCGCAATCACGTCGGCCGCGGCCGCGGGCGTGTGGGCGCGCGCCATGGCTGGGTGCATGTCGAAGGGGCGTTCCCGGGTTTGCCGCTCGACGAGGTCTGCTCCATCCTCTCCAAGGCGTGCAGCTGCAGTGTGACGCCCCGCCCGGCCAAGTACGAGGGTGAAGTGGCGCTCATCCTCGCCGCGGTGCCTCCCGCGGACGAGCAGGCGGTCGATGCCCTTGTCGGCGCTGGCATGGCGCGCGCGTACATCCTGCGCCACCCGCCAGAGCTGCCGCCGACGCCGGGGCAGCGAGGAGGGCGTGGCGAGCGGCGAGCGTCGCGCCGCACGGGAAACTGGGCACCTGCTGACCGCGCGGGCGAGCGAGGGCAGCAGGAGGCGGAGGAGGAGGAGAAGGCGCACGCCGGAGGCACGGCAGAGCCGGAGCCGGTGGAGGAGGGCCACGGCTGCAGCGACGGGTTTGCGGACGCCTCGCACGACAAGGGTGGTGCGAAGCGAGGGCCGGACCTGGGCTGCGGCATGGCGGGCGACGACTTCAGCGCCTTCGTGTAGCGTTGCAGTCGCGCTCTGCTCCTTGCCACGCTGCTTCCCCTCGGTTGTTGGTTGTACCTTCGTGACATCTCGCATGCGCAGGTGTGCATGTGTGCATGTGCGCATGTGCATGTGTGCATGTGCATGTGTATGTGTGCACGTGCATGTGCATGTGCATGTGCTGCAGCTTGTACTATATCTCACTTCTCGTGTGAGGTGTGTCCCTGTACGTGTATATGTTTTGGGCTGCTGCTTGGGCTGGATCATTTGTGTTGTGTCCTTTCGCCAATAAATAAATAAAAACGGACACCTCTCTACTGTGAGATGGGTAAAAAGGAACAGGTCCCCGCCCTTGCGATCTTTGTGCAGGGTTCTTTGTGGGTGTGGTCGGCGACTAGCCGGGGTCGTCCTCCGGATGGGGGACTAGCACTAGCCGTCTTCCACATGGTCCCTCGGGTCCCTGCTGCTCCTAATCTCGTCGTACATCCTCCTACTGATCTCTCCGCAAAGTCCTGCTCCCTCCCTCGTCTCGCCCTGCGCGTTTGCTCCGCCTCCCCGTCGTCTGCCCTGCGTCGTCTGGCGACGGGTCCTCCATAGTCGGTCGAGGTCGCCGCCCTCCTCGTGCCTCTTCCCAGCGTTCCCTCGGTGGCCGATGCCGTCTGCTCCGGCTCCCCAGTCCCCGGTTCTGCCCTGCTCTCGTCTGCGCTAGTTTCTGCATCGTCATCACTGGCGCCTCTCCTCTTTTTTCTCCTCCTCTTGTATGCTTTGTACTACATCGCGTCGATTCCTTTTCGCGTGAGCACCAGCCTGAAGCCCGCCCAGCAGCTGAACCGCTCCCTAAGTCGAAGGAGCATCGTCAGTCTCACCCACTTCGCTCGCTGCCCACCGTCTCCGCTCCCTCCCGCTTGAGCCGCCGTCGCGGTCCTCGTTCGGTCCTTTCGCCAGACGCCTGCAGCTCACACATATCACAATGCACATGCATCTGCACGAACTTAGTGACATTTCAATCGCAAATGGGACCCGAATGGTGGACCGGACGAATATTGGGACCCGGGTCCAATACTGGACTTATATTTGTTGAATGTTGTGTCAGGTGTCACGTACAAGAAAACGGCTTCCCAGCCCCGCTTGTACAAAATGCTGATGGCTCAGCCGTTCTTCACCTCTATCTATCCGCAAGGTGCGTTGCTCCTCCTCGATGGCCGTTGCTCCTCCTCCATCACACACAGACCAAGTTCTCCCGCTGCGCTCGCTCTGCGTCCGCGCGCGAGTGCCGCACGCGCGCGGTGAGGTTGAGCACCGTCGCGCACGCGATGAGGCCGACGCCGCCGAGGCCGAGCGGCTCGAGAGGCTCGTGGAAGAGTAGCGCCTGGAGGTAAGGGAAGGGGTAAGGTAAACAAAGCTTCTCCACACACACACACAACATCTCACGTCTAGACGACAGGAGCCCCACGGCATTGAAAGTGCAAGGCCCGGTGCGCGTGGGTGAGCGGTGTGGTGGGGGGGGGGGGGGGGTGCGCGCGCCTGGAGCCCGTACGAGAAGGGGATCTCTAGGATGTTCATCAGCGAGGCCGACGCGACGTCCCGCACCTGCGTACCATACCTCCAGAGTCTCGAATCCAGTGTGGGTTCGGTCCCGTGGGTGGTGTGGTAGCATCGCGACGTCCCGCACCTGGTGAACACGCCAACGCCCTGGGACGCCGTGCTGCGTGTTGTCGATGGGTGCATTGCACGCGTGCTCTCTCTCACGCTCTTGAGAGCCAGCTGGAGCATGGGCTGAGGCTCTCTCACGCGTGAGAAGGCCTCGAGCTCGCGGACGAGCTGGAGGGTGTCGAGATATGGGGAGATATGGGGAGATATGGGGAGGTCTGACTGTCACTGTGCCGGCGTGCGAGTTCGGGGCCGGGACTGTGTGCCTTTGTGTGAGTACGCCGACCTCGGGAAGACCGGTCTTTTGCAGTGTAGTCATAGCACCGCGTGAGTACGGGGGGTGCGAGGACACAGTGCATACAGTCGAATACGGCCGAATACGGCCGAGGCCGACTACGGGCGAGGCCGAATACGCGCGAATACAGTGGAGTCCGTGTCCTCTCGAGTGCGGGTTGGGGTACAAGAAGACGGAGTCTGCTTCTAGGCCCGAGATATGGGGAGATATGGGAGATTCTGCTTCTAGGGCCTCGCACGCGCTGGTAGCCGAGGGTCTGCAGCGCCAGTCCTGCGGACGACACCGCGGAGATGGCGGCGAGGAGAGCCCACTGCAGCGGCGAGCGCAGCGCAGCCACGCCGTCCGCCAGCTGACCGGCGGCGCCTGGAGCAAAGAAGAAAGAAATGGGGCCAAAAGTAGATCTCCTCATGCGGCGTGTCCCAAAAGTGATCTCGTCATGCAGCGTGTCTGGCCGTCTCTCTATTTGTTCGGTCGGTCTCCGCGTGCCTGCGTCGGCGACGACCCACCTGCAGGCAGGCTCCGAGAACGGTTCCGAGAAGGCTCCGAGAAGGCTCCGTGTACCTCGGGCGTCGACCCACCCCACCAGCGCGAGCGGGGTGAAGACAAAAGCCGAGAAGACACAGCTCACGTGGTTCACGGCCGTCCACGGCGCCCCGCCAGACTTGTTGGTGCAGACAGGAAGCAAGCCGGCGACGACGGCTGCGACGAGGGCGGCGCCGGCGCCATAGGCGTACTCCGTTGCGGCGGCGGCGGTGGCGGTAGCAGTGGCGGCGGAGGGGGCGGAGGCGGTGGCGGCGGCGTCGCTGGCAGCTGCGCAGATGCGGGGTGGGCAGGGAAGGAAGGAGGGGCGGGTGAGGAGGAGGAGGCCGGCGGCGTCGATGAGCACCACCAGCGCGAAGTAGGCGTGCATGCCTACGGATAAGGTAAGGTAAGGTCAGGTAAACTTCTCCACACACACGAGGTGGTGGGGCAAGGGCCAGGCTAGTCCCTCGCGTCTCCACGTCTGACGACAGGAGCCCCACGGCATTCAAAGTGCAAGGCCCAGTGCGCGTGGGTGAGCGGTGTGTGTGTGTGTGTGTGTGTGTGTGTGTGTGTGCGTGTGTGTGTGTGAGTGTGTGTGTGTGTGAGTGTGTGTGTGTGTGTGTGTGTGTGTGTGTGTGTGTGTGTGTGTGTGTGTGTGTGTGTGTGTGTGTGTGTGTGTGTGTGTGTGTGTGTGTGTGTGTGTGTGTCTGTGTCGCGTGTGTTTGAGGGTACGAGTAGAGCGGAACGAGTAGAGCGGACACAACTGAGTACGGCCGAATGCAGCGGAAGTGTCCTCTCGAGCACTAGTTGGAATGCATGACCACCGTCTTCCGCTTCTAGGGCACGAGATATGGGGAGATACTTTTGGAGATATGGGAGATCTTCCGCTTCTAGGCGCCCGTGCGCTCCGCCAAGAATAGGCGCGCGAACAGCGCTGTGAAGACGGGCGCGATGTAGACGACCGTCGTCGCATCGCCGAGGGGCATCGCCTCCAGCGCCAGCCACCTACAAAGGAAGGTTCCGAGAAGGCTCCGAGAAAGTTCCGTTCACCATCGCCTCCAGCGCCAGCTCACCAGCAGCAGAGGAAGACCCAGTAGAGAAAAGCGCGCAGCACCAACCAACCAGACAGCTCCCGCGGCCCAAATAGCAGCTTCGCCCAGGCCTCCCTCTCGCCGCCCTCGCCGCCGCCACACTTGGCAAAGGTCGACGGCCGAGCCTCCGCCCCGCTGTTGTCGTAGACGCGCATCGCCGCGCCAGTGTCTCCGCCTCTTCGGCGCGTCTCGCGGCAGAAGGCGGCGGCGGCGAGGCAGATCAGCCACTCAAGCAGAGAGCGGATCTGCATCTTGAGCAGAGTGGGCAGCGCGACCTGGCAGCGGAGCAGGATCGGTGATCGGGCTGTGGCAGACGGCAGTCAGTGCGGTCCTCAGAGAGGCCTTTCATTGCGGGAGGTGTCTGCTGCATCTGTGGCGTTGGCTTACCGACTTAACAACAGCCGCGAGGATGCCGAAGAGAAGTGCAGCGGAGGTGATGAGGGCGACGCCTTCAACGTGCCGGCTGCCCGTCAGCAGCGCGCTGGTTGACGGTTCAGCCATGTCGAAGGTGCGCGACGAACGCTCATCAACGAGGAAAGTCTCGGCTTGGAGGAACGGCCGCAGGGGCAGGGGGCATCCCCCGAGGCCCCGCCCCAGGAGTTGCGGCGGCCGGCACCGCCACCAGGCCCGCCCCCACCACCACCGCCTCCGCCCCCGCCGTTGGAGCGACCGCTGGGTCGAGGAGCCGCCCCTGAGGCCCCACACCAGGCGGTGCAGCCGCCAGTGCCGCCATCGTTTCCGCCACCCACACTGCCATTTCCGCCCCCGCCACTGGAACGGCTGCAGGGTCGTGGGGCCGCCCCAGCGGCTCCACACCAGGCGTTTGGGCCGCGAGGGCCGCCACCGTACCCGCCGCCCCTGCTACCGCCTCCACCCCTGCCGCCGGCGGGGCCGCCACCGTATGGACCCGCTCGGAATAACCTGGGGGGTCCGGGACCACCCCGCCGGAGGCTAGAGTACCCGGAAGGAGGAGCTGGGGGAGGGGAGGGGCCGCAGTACGATAACGGGCCCGCCGGCGAGCCGGAAGGCCGAGGCCGGAGGGCCCCAGGGGGGGCTTGGGGTCAGCTGTCGGAGGAGGTGAGAGACGAGCTGACGCGGCCTCTGCGGTGCAGCTTCGAGCACAGAAAACGCTCGCGACACGCTCCCTTTGAGCAATCACCAAAGGCAGATGCTGACCGTCTTGTCGGGCGCCGCCGCCACCCCGCCGTCCAAACTCGTCGTCTCGGTTCAGACACAGAATGGCTTCTTCTCCACCGGCGACGACATTGGCGCGTTGAAGTGCGCCCGCGCCGCCGCGGCGCTATACGTAGCTACGTAGCGGGATGGATTGATGATGGCTATGCGGCGCGCTCCAACCTCCCACGTCCACCTCAGTGAGCTCCCCCCCCCCCCCCCCCCCCCCGCGCGCGCAGCCCGCACGACTACCGGCCGAACGAGTTTGTCACCAACGACTTCATCTTCGAGGGCCTCGTCGCGTGGGACGGCAAGAACCCGACCGGCCTGGACAATATCGCGGGCAACGAAGGTGTGCGCCGACGCCCCCGCCAACGCCTCCCCCGCCACCCCCCTCGCCGTCGCCTCCCTCTCCGCCGCCTCCCTCGCCGCCGCCACCATCTCGCCGCCTTGTCCCAGCAGTTGCATGCACAGAATGGTGGCCCCGGGGTAACCGGCGGCAGCCGCACGGGCGGGACGAAGAGCTGAGTGAGTGAGAAGAGAAGAGAGACCGGGGCCGCCCGGTCCTCCACAGAGAGACGACGTAGTGAAGAACGATTCGCATGAGACATTGGTGAAATGTGTTGCTGTGCCAGTGCTTCGTGAAAAAACTGTTCAGTTTTCAAAGGCAAAACACAACGCTCTGCGGTTGGTGCACCCCTCACACTGACACATTCCCCTCATCCCCTACCCTTGGCTGAGCACATCTACCTGCGAGCTAGCATCTCCGCATTTTCTCTTCCAGTCATCCGCCCGCGCCGCGCGCCATCACTGGGCGTCTAGTGCAGCCACTGACAGAGCTATTCCGAAGGAGTGGTCGACGCCTCGCCTAGAGTTCGGGTGGACTTGCGCACTGCTTAGCCCTGAGGGGGGAGTGTGTGTGAGGTGGTGTAATGTTGTCCCGTTTCAGGCGGCAGGTCAGGGGATTAGCCGGGAGGATTCGGCAGCTCAGCCGGGGGCTGAGCGTCTGCAGGCAGCCTTCCGCCCGCGCCGAAATTCACAGCCCTCCCGGGCCGACGGGGTGCTCCTTGGATCGGGCCCCGCTCCCCGCTTTTCCTGTACCTGGACTGTCCGGGTTAGGAGGGTGAGAGTATTGGGTGGGCGAGGGCAGTACATCTGGCGGGTGGCGATTGAGGGACAGCAAGATTGGGGGGTCAATCGAGCGGCCCCGCCGGAGGCGAAGAAAATTTTGCCATCTAGCGCTCTCTGACACACATTTTTGCACAAATCAACACCTCCAAACAACCAACAAGCTTTCAATAAGACTGGTTCACAGCAGGTTCAAGATTAGCGCATTCGGAGTCATTCGATGGCCAGAGTGCGATTGTGTGTGTGCGGGAGGGTTGGTTTGTCGGGAGGGAGGGGCAGGCTGCTCACCCACGTGCACCGGGCTAGTGCTTGCACTTTGAATGCCGTGGGGCTCCTACTGCCCGTGTCCGCGGGTGTGGAGATGCGTCATGCGAGGGTCGCCCCCCCTTGCCCCACCACTTGTGCGTGTGTGGAGAAATTTACCTTACCCCTTACCTTAGTTCCTTACCTTGGATTAGCGTGTCAGAGTGATCAGTGAAATGGCACTAGCCCAAGTGCTCTAGTAAAGAAACCCGGTCGGTCCCAGCCACCCCTCGCGCCTCGGAGCGTGCACTATCGCACCACTCAGCTGTAAGTCACAGCGATTTCAATCACGCTTGTCACATTTCAATCACGCCTGTCACTCTACACGAAGCAGCCCAAAATCGCCCTCGAACTCCTCGAGGTCGCGCTGGCGCGCCGCGCCGTCTGGGCCGTAAGAGCCGAGCCTGGTCTGGGCCCGCTCTAGCCAGCTGTAGAGGAGGGGGCGGCAGCGCTTGTAGGCCAGAGCCCCGTCCACCGCCTCGTACCAGCGCTGCAGGTCGCGCATCCTCTTGGGAGGGAGGCGGAGAACGGTGGTGGCGGGAGGGAAGAAGGTGGGGATGGTGGCAGTGTCTGGCACGGTGACGCGGGTCAGGGAGGAGCAGCGGGCGAAGGCGCCGCTGCCGATGGAGGTGAGGCCAGCGGGGAAAGTGACGCGGGACAGGGCGGAGCAGCGGTCGAAGGCGCCGTCGCCGATGGAGGTGAGGCCGGCAGGGAAGGTGACGGAGGCGAGGGAGGAGCAGCGGTCGAAGGCGCCGTCGCCGATGGAGGTGAGGCCGGCGGGGAAGGTGACGGAGGAGAGGGAGGAGCAGCGGGCGAAGGCGTAGCTGCGGATGGAGACGAGGCCGGCGGGGAAGGTGACGCGGGTGAGGGCGGAGCAGCCATAGAAGGCGCTGCTGCCGATGGAGGTGAGGCCGGCGGGGAAGGTGACGGAGGCGAGGGCGGAGCAGCCGAGGAAGGCGTGGTTGCCGATGGAGGTGAGGCCGGCGGGGAAGGTGACGGAGGAGAGGGAGGAGCAGCGGGCGAAGGCGCCGCTGCCGATGGAGGTGAGGCCAGCGGGGAAAGTGACGCGGGACAGGGCGGAGCAGCGGTCGAAGGCGCCGTCGCCGATGGAGGTGAGGCCGGCAGGGAAGGTGACGGAGGCGAGGGAGGCCGGCGGGGAGGGTGACGGAGGTGAGGGAGGAGCAGCCATAGAAGGCGCTGCTGCCGATGGAGGTGAGGCTGGCGGGTAGGTCGATGGAGACGAGCGAGGAGCAGTCGGCGAAGGCGAAGCTGCCGATGGAGACGAGGCTGCGCGGGAAAGTGGCGCGGACTGGCACACCGGCTCACTTGACAAAGAATTTGAAGTGAGGGGGAAAAGACTCCGCTCCCCCAAGAGAGAGAGAGAGGACGGGGGGGGAGGGGGTTCAACTTGGTGACGGCGGACTGTGGGCCATCGCGGGGACTGCTGCGTACGGAGGGCGCGGCAGATTGATCCGGATGGTCACACCCGGTGGGTGGCACCGAGGCGTCGTGGGGACGCTCTTCTGTTCAGTCGACGCTCGTCGTCCACTGAGAACTCAGTGGTTGTCACCACTTTGTATTCTTTAATATTAACCTTGCGAACTCGTCCCCCCCGGCAGGGCTATGCAACTGTGACCAGTGTGTGCTGTCTACGCCTGAACCAGGTGTCAAATCTGCCGATGCGTGATCTGTGTGTGGGCCGCTCTGTGAGGGGTCCAGGCATTGTCCGACGGGTAGGGGGTCTGTGCCCGGGCGGTGTCCGGGAGTGCGGGTCAGCAAGCCCTAAAACGGCGGGAGGGGTAGGGGTGCCGCTGTAGGGGTGTGGAGGGGTCGGGAGGGCGGGAGTGTGGACCGTGACCTAAAGCCCTCCACCGATAGAGGTGTCAGGCGGCAGGGCCCAGGAGGGGTGGGGGCTTGGAGGGCTGGCCAAAAGCGAGGCGTAGGAGGGGTCCAGTGGGCTAGAGAGGGCTGGAGGGGTCGGAGGGGGCTAGAGGGGCCGGAGGGGCTGTGCGGATGGAGGGGTCTGGAGGGCTCGGGGGGCTTGGAGGGCTCGGAGGGTGTTCCGGCAAGAGGGTCCCTAGCGCGAGGGGTGGGGCTCGGGAGGGGTGGAGAGCTCGGAGGGCTCGGAGGGCTCGGAGCGTCGGAGGGCAGAGAGGCACGAGGGTGGCGCTGGAGGGCTCGGGAGGGCTCGGGAGGGCTCATGAGGGATGGAGTGCCCGGAGGGCTCGGAGGGGCGAGCCACCGAGCCGGGCTCGGGGGGCTCGGAGGGCTCGGAGGGCTCGGAGGGGTCGGAGGGGTCGGAGGGGTCGGAGGGCTCGGGGGGCTCGGAGGGCTCGCGGAGGGGTGTGGAGGGGTCGGAGGGGTCGGAGGAGTCGGAGGGGTCGGAGGGGTCGGAGGGGTCGGAGGGGTCGGAGGGGTCGGAGGGGTCGGAGGGGTGTGGAGGGGTGTGGAGGGCTCGGAGGGCTCGGTTAAAGATACCCTGCAGGCAAAGCACATGCACGCGTGGATGTATCAGTTGCATTTCAACTGGTTGGTAGGAGACGCTTGCCGGAAGAGTGGTGTTTGAGCTGCGACCTCTGAATCTGCTGTATGTATGCAACCCCTGCCTAGACAAGTACAGCTAAAGAGTACCCTCCGTGTGGGGGCCCGTGAACATCTTTAGCTTGTGAGCCAGGAAAAGGGTTGGTATGTATGTATGTAGGAAGGTGAAGAACAGCCAGGCTCGGACTGGGCACCAACGCGGTATGGGAGCGAATATTTCCGGCCGCGCTTTCTTCCGCCTGTGCAAGTCGAACTCGTCCGCTGTCTAGCCACTTCACAGCTGCTCCTGTGAGAAGAGGCCCAGGGAGGAGCGGCGTGAGCGTCTGCAGCTACAGTCGCTCAAACTGTGCGCTCCGCGAGACCGAGGCCCCCTCGAGGTTCACAGCGGGTCGGCTGGGGAAGCTCCTCCGCCTTCATTGCCTCCGCCGCGGCGTGCAGTGCACTGCCCTCTGCAGACTAACGAGGGTGGTGCTCCACCATGCCCAATCCGCGCAGCTCTGAGGAGGAGCGGCTCACCACGTTTGTCGACGGCCTCACGCCGCTCCTCCGTCCGCTTGCGCTCATCGGCGGCGCACTTGTGTTGGCCTCGGTCGTCGGCCGGCCCTCCCAGGACGAGACCGAGGCGCAGAAGGGCGCCTTCCTCTTCGACGCGCAGCAGCGCTTCGCAGAGCCCGCCCTCGTCGGCAGAGCGAGCGGCGACGGGAGGCGGCGGCGGTGCGGCGGCGGACAGGCCAACGCGTCGTCCGCCGCGCTGGGCGATGCCGAGGCGGACGCGCTCTCCCGCTGGTGCGCGCCCAACGAGACGGCGGCGATCGTGCAGGCGGCAGGCCGCCTCGGCAACCGGACGCATGGCCGCTGCCCAGGCCTTGCAGCGGTGCGTCTTGCCTGATGGCTGAGACGGCCGCCATGGCTCTTGCCTCACCTCGGCGAGGTCTCGCGCCGCTGTCAGGCGCTCGGGTCGAGGTCGCTTCCCCGCGCGGCGCCGACGCGCGCGGGGCCGGCGGCGCATGGCGGCCCGAGCACCAGCGGTGCGGATCAGCGGTGCGGTGGCCCGTCTCGCAGCTGTTCGGTGAGCCGTCTCTGAGCGTCGCTGCAGGTGGCAGGAGCTGGAGCGGTGTGTGTGGCGAGCGGCTCGCGGCTCGCGGCAGCCGCCCGCTCGTGTACGTCTACCGCTGGCTCGACACGCTCCACCGGCAGCTCCTCGGCAGCCGCTCTTCGGCTTCGTTCCTGGACATCTGGCACCCTCGCTCGCAGTTCCTCTCCGAGTTCGCCTTCCACCGCGCTCTGCTCGCGTCGCCCTTTGCCACCGCGTCACCAGAGTCGGCGGACTTCTTCTTCGTCCCTTTCTACTCGCGGCTCGCCCTCGGCCAGAAGAACCAGTCCGCCCGCGCAGCGCTCATCGCCACTCTGCGGCGGCAGCTCGAGGCGTCGCCGTACTACAGGCGGTCGGGAGGGCGGGACCACATGTTCCTCCTCTCGTCTGGCCGCCCGATGGAGCTGCTCTTTGGCGAGGCGCTTCCCTTGCTCGCCGACGCCATCCGCCTCCAGGCGATCCACTTGCGTGCAGACCCCGACCGAGGGGCGCAGAGCCAGCCGTTCGCAGGGCTGGCCGCCGGCCGGTGGCAGAGGAAGGAGGTGCGCGTGCCGCACTTTGTGCCGTGGCTGCCGCAGGACGACGCCGTCACGGCGGGCAGCAAGCGCCGCTCCGTCTGCCTCGAGGCGACGCCGAGCACGCGGCTGCGCGAGGCGCTCCTCGCCCCCTCCTCCCCCCTCCGCCGCGTCCCCGGAGCGCACCTCCGCCCCACCGGCCGCTCGAGCGCACCGGCACACGACAGACGCCGCCGCGCGGCGGCGTGCGCAGCACGGCAGCGGCTGAGGACGTGCCGCTTCTGCGTCGTGCCGGCGGGGCGGACGCCGTCGACGCGGCGTCTCTTCGAGGCGGTCGCCGCTAAGTGCATCCCGATCCTGCTCGCCGACGGGCTCTCCCTCCCTATCCGTGGGGCAGTCGGAGGAGGCGAGCCTTCCCGTCGCACCTTCTTTGGACGTCTTCTAGGCTCGCCCTCCCCTTCGTGGGACAGTCGGAGGAGGCGAAGGCAGAGCCACGCACACGGGGCGGGGCGGAGGAGGCGGAGGCGGAGGCGGAGGCGGAGGAGGCGGAGGCGGAGGCGGAGGCGGCGGAGGCGGAGGCGGAGGCGGCGGTGGCGGGCTCGGGAGCGGCGGGGACGAGGACGGGCGCGTCGGCGGCGGGGACGGGCGCGTCGGCGGCGGGGACGGGCGCGTCGAGGCGGCGTGACGTCGGTCTGGCCCCGGTGTCCAATCTCAGCGGCGCGGGTGGCGGGCTAAGGCTGCTCTCTCGCTCCGGCGGGCTGCTCGGCGCGTCGACAGCGGCGCCCTTCAGCTCCCCCGAGATGAGGCGAGGCGGCCCGAGGGTAGGCGGGCTCATCGGCGCGACACCGGCGGCCTCCTTCCTCCGTCTCCCCGAGGCGCAGTGGCGCGAGCTGCCAGCCCTCGTCGCCGAGGCGGAGGGCCGCCACGCGCAGATGATGCGCGTGCTCGAGCTCTACCGGCCGTGGTTCCTGTACGAGCTGGCCGAGGCGCGCAGCGCAGACGACGCGCGCCACGCGTCCTCCCTGCTCTGCGCCGTGTTGGCCGACGTCGCGCGCCGCTTCTCGCCGCATCTGCAGGACTGGAGACGAGCAGCAGCAGGGCCAACTGCAGGGTCTGAGACGAATGTGTCGAGTGCGCGGCGAGGATCTTGACGAAGGGTGGGTTTTGCACGAAACACATCCACAATCGCGAGATCCGCGCACCGCGGCCACAGCGCACAGGGGCTCAGGCACGCACGCGCGCACGTACGGGGTGTGGAGGGTGAGTTGACCACAGGGGGTTGTGCGCCGGGCCCTCCTGCTCGGCTCCAGCCGGTAGACAAGTCTTGTCATCAACAGAGTAGATGGATCTGACCTCGGGGCCGATGTGACCAAGCGCTGGTAGCGTGGTTTTACCTCACACCCATGGTCTCACAGTGTGCCGGCAGTCGCCGAGCAGTGTCGCTCACACAAGCCGCAGCACAAGTGACTGAGGGCCAGTGAGGGCGAGCCCATCGCTGTCACAGCTGTGGCAGCCGCACAGTAGGCTGTGTCAACTGTGCAGAGTGTGTGAGCAGCAGAGGAGCTGCTCTCCAGGCTTCTGTCGCAAAGAGGTGCATGCCACCGAAGGCGCTGTCGAGGTTCGCCGAGCGCGGCGCAGGTTGGAGGAAGCCGTCACCGACGAGCGCGTTGGACTTTTCACTCCGGACAAAGACGGGGACACAGCGGACGGTGCGGGGTGTGTCCCCGTCATAGCGGCGAGGCGCGGGACCGTCTGTGGCGAAGTGGGTCGCTTCCTCCGATTTCCGTCAACCCAGCATCCACACCCTTTAGACCTCCCGCGCTGCCGCGCACCGGATGACACAACGCTTGAAAAACCATTCTGACGAGCCGCCGAGCATACTTGCGTGGACGTTTCGGGCTCCTATCCCCCGCCCCGGATCCGTGGGCGATCGCACACGCGGCTGGGCACGGCGCGAGGTGCCAGGTGGCGCTAGGCGCTTACCCTGAGGGGTGGCCCGTCTACCGTTAGAGGGCCCACAGCGTCCTAATCTAAAATCTGAGGATTCAGGATTGAGGCATCGCTTTAGTGAGGCCAAAGTGAGTTTATGGATGGGTGAGAACGATGCGCGACACGGGGAGGCACGCGGACCGACTCGTCGGCGACTATGCTGCACGCCGTTTCAGAATTTTTCTCAGCGTGAGCGAGACGTGGAAGAGTGCCACCGTCGGGTAGGACGGGTCGGCCCGGAGCAGCGGAGTAGCCGTCGTGGTCGCGGCGAGCAGCGCCTGCCACTCCGGCGCCGCGTCGGCAACATGGGAGCATGTCCACCGCCACTTCGCGGTCGCAGCGCTGTTGTCGCCCAAAACGCCGCTATGTACCTTTTCGGGCAAACCATCGAGCTGTATGTCGATTTCGACTTGACGGCGGCATGGAGGCATGCATGCCTCCATGCCGCCGTCAAGTTGGAGCCAGTCTGCGGCGACCACAGCGCTCAGAAAGGTACATAGCGAGCTTTTCAGAGTCAAGCGATTGCGCGAAATCCCACACTGCTGGATTTTGGGGCGCTGTGGGCCCCTACGTACCGTCTACCGGTAGACCGGGTAGACGGTAGACCATTTGGTAGACGAGAAATAAATAAATAAATAAAAACGGACACCTCTCTACTGTGAGATGGGTAAAAGGGAACAGGCCCCCGCCCTTGCGATCTTTGTGCAGGTAGACGAGAAATTCTGCGTGTTTCTTTTATTTCCTGTGAAAGCCAAAGCGGGATTGCCCCCGGGAGGAGTCGTCTACGAGGCGGCGGCGAGCGCAGGCGGCGGCGGCGCGGCGGCGCGGCGGCGGTTCGCGGCGCTGACAACGGCAGCAATCTGCGGCAGGCTGCTGCTAGCTGCTGCAGCTGCTGCTGCTGCTGCTGCTGCTCCGCTGCTGCTGATTGTGGCTACAATTTCTCCGATCACCCCGCCCGCCCGCTCCGCCCCGCCCCCCCGCCTCTCCCCGCTTGCCCGCCCGCCCGCCCGCCCGCCCGACCACCCATTCCCATCACCATCTCACACACCTTCATATAGGCGCTCGAGACCTCCCCTCGCTGCCTACTCGCTGCCTCGAGGGAGGAGGGGAAGACGTAGGGTTGAGCTGGACTCGCCTTTCCTGAGGCCCCTCCCCGAAAGGGCAAGTATTAGCCTCACGAAACCTGAGACCCCTCCCCCCCGCCCCGATCCCCCCACCCCCTTGCTCCCCTCCCCCCCTCGGGAGGGCCGAACTGAGGCGCCCGTGGGGACCCCGCAATTCCCTTCCCCCCTCGGAGGGGGCCGGACGAGGCGTACCCCGAGGGCCCCTCTCTTTCCTTCGCATAGCGGCCACTCTTCGGATCGCTGGTCGAGCGACCCGGGGGATGCCCCGCGCGCCTGACCCAGGCGCGAAAAACGAATCTGCGAGGCGTGGCCGCTCATGCGGCCCGATGGGGAGGAACGGGGCGAGCCCTCCAACCCACCCGCGCTAGGTCTCGGGTTTGACGCATGGGGTCACTCCCGCGAAACTCGTGAACTAGCCGGGGCAGTCGGAGAAGGGGCAACTAACTCCGTGCACTGACGGTCGGCCGTCAGAAAACACGCCTGCGTGGATCGCGTGACACCAATCCTCGCTACCCTTCGCAAAGGAATCCAAAAAAAATAATTTTACAACAAAACTCCCTCGCACAACACTGGGCACGGGACTGGCGCGCACTGGCACTAACGCAAAAAAAGAACGTGCTGTGAACGTGTGTCTCGCGCCTTCTTGAACGCGGCTGGCGCGCGGCTGATCTTTGCCACCTCGAGAACCTACATGGCCCGTCCAAGTGTGCCGCCGCCATCGCCTGCGTATCTAGCTGGCCAGCGAGCAAAGCTGGTGCCAGCGCCGCAAGCAGAGGAGGACGGCTGCGGCCGCTGCGCCTCATTACTCGCTTGGGGCGACGCGAAAGTGCCTCCGACGTGGTGTGGCAGCCTCAGCCGGCCACTGGAGGCAGTGTCCGCCTCGTCGAGCGCGCTGCGCCACTATCAGGCCTGTGTCGGCTCGGGCCTCTACTTTTTCCTCTCCCTGGTGCGGCTGGTCCCGGTCGCCGGCTCGCTCCTCTTTCTCCTGCTGCCGGTGCCCGTCTTCATGCCGCTGTACCGCCGCCTCTCCCACAACCGCGCCGGAGGCTACTACGACACGCTGGTGCAGCAGCTGACCCGCCTGCCGCAGCACCAGGCGGACATCAAGCGGCGTGGCTGCTGCCAGATGTCGGATGAGTACCGGATTGGCCTCGAGCGTGAGCGGCGCGACGGCATCGTCCGCGCGTGCAACGCTCTCGAGAGTGCACTCGTGTGCTACATGATCGCGATTCCCTTCCTGAACCTGTTTCCGGCCAACCCGCTCGAGGCGCCTCGCACTTTCTGCCGTCCGCTCCTGCCAGCACAAACAAACAGCACCTTTCTCTCTCCCCCCCTCCTCCTGCCAGCCGCTCACCACCGTGATTCACCGTGTCTCGGATCCCAGGCGCTCGCCTACTACGGTCTCCACCGTTGGATCGGCTCCAACCCGTTTGGCGGCCGGTACGGCGGCCTGTTCCAGCCAGAGGCGATGTGGAGGCTCGCGAGCTGCCAGCAGAGCGGAGAAGCGGCAGAGGGACGGCTCGAGCCGCTGGAGGTGCATCCGTCGCCGTCAATCTGACTTTACTGCGTTGACTTTACTGCACCCGCGCGCGGGCGGACCGGACTCCTCCGACACGCGTCGCTGGGCTCTCAGAGCTTCGTCCCCTGCTAGAAACAAGGGGTGGGGTGCTAGTATGAGTGAAGACCGATCGTAAAGCCGTACGTGGGGCAAAGGAACTAAAGTGATGGCTGGTGGTACTCTCCTGCAACCAAGTCCTTCCTGTGACATGGCAGGCCACTCTCAAGCCCTACAAACACCAGATCACCTAACTTGGGGAGGGTTGACATCGTGATTTCAACGGAAAATTTCTTTTTCTGCTGTGTCCTGTGAAAATTCCAGCGTGAAGAGAGGGGAAAACCCGACGGGAGGGCCCAGACCTACCCTACCAACCCCGTCATGAGTGCCGGCCAAGCAAAAAAAGAACACACTTGCTCAGCGGCGAGGCGCGGGACCGTCTGTGGCGAAGTGGGTAAGGTAAGGTAAGGTTCATTTCTCCACACCTGTGTTAGTGCCAGTGCGCGCCAGTCCCGTGCCCAGTGTCGTGCGAGAACCTCGGAGGCGGTCCGTCTCGCGCCAGATATATAGAGAGCTCTACAGCGCTCTCCAGCGCTCTTCATCTAGGACCCCGCGAGGGAGGGTACAGGGGGGCAGGGTAGCTGCTATTTCGCAGAAATCGCGCCGCTGCTGGTTGGCCAACCACCCTGGCGGGAGGCACACACCGGCGACACCGGCTCGACGCTCAGCGGTCGGCGGCGAGGAGGCGGCGCAGCCGGGCCGGGCCGCGCTGCGAGCCACCGCTCGGGCGTGCCGGCAGGTTGCTGCGGACCCTGTGGCGCCCGCCGGGCACACGAATGGCGCCCGCCGGCCCGAGGGAAGGAATTGGGGTGCTGCTGGAGAGGCGCCGCTTCATCGTGCTGTAGCGGCAAAAGCTTATTTCGAACTAGCGGCGCGCCGACGGCGCAGGAGATATGCCCTTAGACGCCAAAAAATTGGGGTCGAACCACGGAATCAAGAAGGAGAAAATTCGAATGGAATCTAGGGGCTCTGTCTCACT